ACTCATTTTCAATGCATTCCTATGGGAAATGGTGTTTCGCTTAACGATGTTTTTCCATAGTGATGGTTTTTTGGAACCAATTAACATCGTTAAGCGAGGCACCACTTGTACATCGGACTCCAAGGAGAAATCAGAAGCCTTTGTTCCTCACAGCTAGCTTTTATCTCAAAGGGGATAATTCCAGTATGATCCAGAGGAATATTTTACACCTTGTACAACTTTTTCTTCTTCTGAATATTTTTTAACTTGTTTACACCCCCCATGCAATACAGATAAACTGAATGTCCAGGAAAGTCTTTACTTTTCTTCTTTTATTGAATAAGGATATGCAAACAGATACAGTATGTTATGCTGTTATTTGTATCCCAAAGAACCTCACTATAAAAACCTACAGTGCTATAAGAATGTGTATAAGAAAATGTAATGAACTAGATGAAAAATATAAGTTAGTGTTCTAACAAAGCTTAAAAATTCTTTAACAAAAATAAATATGGTGCTTAAAAGGAAATCATAAGACCATAGCTAAAGTGTTATAAAGGTATTTAAGAATAAAAAGTATTATCAACAGGGCTTGAAAAATTTTAGAATGTCTCACCAGTCAGCCAAAAATTTCACCAATCAGCATGACCGGACTATAGCTTTGCAATTTATTGGGATTGGGAATCACTGATTTATACCCTCTGACTTGGGTTGCTTTATTACTTGCATGCCTGTGGGGTCATGAAGCCTGTATTTTGAATGCCTTTCTTTTGAATGTCTCCAGCAAAAATAAAACTGAAAGCGAAAGCCCCTGGCTTCTTTAGGAGCCATGATTCCCTCCCACCCAGATGTGTTCTCGTTTGGTTGAAATTGGGAGTGGAGTAGAGAATCATATTCTCCAGCATGGGACTACTCTACATTCTCCTGCAGAGCTATATCTCTATGTGCTACTCAAACTCTTTTCTCACGAGAAGAGGGCAGTTTTCCTTTTGCAGTGGGAGGGGAGGACTGCAGGATTAGAGAGAGAGAAAGAGAGAGACAGAGAGAGAGAGACAGGTGGAAGGGAAGGAGGCAGGCAGGGAGGGAGCTGTGACTCATCCAGCAGCATTTTTCACTCATCACAGATGAGTGGACGTGTGCATTTTTCAAGCCCTGATTATCAAGATATATTCTCTAAATTATAAAAGTTTAACTCTCAATTGTCATATATATATAAATATATGTAATATTTCATAAACACAAAATACCAAACTTTGATGGAATGCATAACAAAATTATGACAGTTGCTGCTTTGTTAATACAGTATTTTAATCGGCTACCTGAATCACACCAAAAATCCATCATGTCTAGCACTCTGTCTCCAGCAGTTGCTAGCCAGATGCCCCAATAACTTTTAAAGCACAATATGGTGGAAGCTGTCATCCCATTGTTTCTTAAATTAAATTTGATAAAGTAGATATATAATGTATTTGAGCCTGAGTATGCCATTTTGCTTATTACAGTAACCACCAACAGATTTATTCTAGTTATAGCAGACTGATTCCAAACGTTGTCATGTTATGGTGTGGCACCAAATAAAAGATTCAACTGGGCTGAACTGAACTGAAAAATAGTCAACAATTCTGGATACACCTCAATGAAGGGTTACTATAAAA